ACCTGACAGATCAAACCTGACAATCGTATCAAACATTCGATAATTATTTTCAGCCCGCTGAGTCCAGTTATTTAAATTTTATTTCAGTTCAAATTCATCGCAAGACTGCAATTCAGCCGCCCCTATATCTTCGACAGCACTTGGACCAATTTGCGAGCCCTTCATTGCGGAGTTTTTGGTATATACAGATGGAAAAACAGTGTTCAGCTTTCGTTTGAATCGCTCTTGAATCTGAAGGTGGAAAAGCGGAAAAATTTTAACTCCACATAATTAAAAAATTCATAAAAATTTTGAAAAAAGATAAAAAATTGTTTTTCAAAGTTCATCTCACCTGGGTGTTTCGCACACAATGCAGCACGAAAATCAGGAAGCCCTAAAACAAACAAACAAAAAAAGGGTCGAGAATCATTTTTTTCTTTTGTAACGTATGAAGGGTTAAGGGTCATGTTGGGTTTCTTGAATGAATTAAGCTGAATTTTTATCCCATTTAAACCAGAAAAAAAGTTCATTAGTTGGACCAGGTTAAACTAATTGGAAATCAGCAACGGCGAGCTGAAAATGTATTTTTTATGGTTTCCAGGTGATCACTAACTTGTATTTTCAACGTGCTAAACTGGACGCGCACAAAAATTACCTTAAGCCGCTTCTATGATAAAACAGAACAAAAAAGAAACAAGCAAATAGAAAGAAAAAAAAGTTTAAGTAAGTTTGGGCTTTAGTATGAATGTGGTGTTAGCATTAAAACCTGTGACAATTGTAAAAGTGACATAAAAAGTGGCAAGAACTTTTATGTTATGAATATACAAAGTAATCAATTATAGTATATTTGCCTCTAAGACCAAATTGATTTCACCACAACTAAAATGTCTACAAGCATGCCAATAACGAGATTTTCCTTTTTATAGCGTGATTATTTCAATATCACGAATCGCGAGTTTAAGCTAACCTGCGTAGAGTTGAGGATGGTAAAAATGTAAGTGAAAACTTTGTGCAATGGTGACAGGAAACCAAACAACCACGAAACGCCCAGCAGGGGAATCATCACCACGCCCGCTTTAACGCCAAGTCTAAAGGATGAGAACAATTGCAACGCGACATGAGAGTTAGTTTTTTTCCTTTTTTTCCCCCCCCCAAATTTTATCACTGTAAGACCACCCACTGATTCAGATTAATAAGAAAGTTAAGCGAGTATCATAGAACAAGGTAATTCTACTAAATGTAATGTGACGGGCCTCGAAGGATTCAGTGGATTTTGTTTCCCCTCGACGTTCAATGATTCCTTGGGAAGAACTGGAAAACTCCATG